GAGAGCAAATTTTGCACTTTTTTTAAGCCAGGTCTGCACAACATATACGGCCTCTTTTTTTTTTTATCTGGACGGATGACACCACCTCGACCTGCTTTATAAGCTCAGAATTATCTTGGCCCTTGTATACTTACGGTGTTTGAAACTGGCCCTTTGAAAATCTGAGTTGTGCAGACCTGCTGTAAGCAATAGTTGCTTAAGGTCTTGTTTAGCTTCGTCTCATAAAGTGTAGATAAAATGTATTCTGATACAGATCCTATTTCATCATTAGTTGCATTGCCGCCTAAAAACGTGTCCATAAAAGATTTTAAATAAAAACACGAGTAGATAAAGATGTTATGTCACAAAAATATTATTTAGAAAAAAACAAGTTTAAAACTTTACAATTGCATTATGATATATGGCTTATGATACCTTCCTATCAGATGAATAGCCATTATTTATCAAAATTGGAACACAGAACTATTAAATTATTTATTGTTTCGGCCTTTACTTGATGAAAATCCATTTTATCTTGAATGAGTAAAACCAAATTTGTTAGATTTTCACAAAAATTTTATTTAAAAAAAAAATAAAAATTAAAAAATTAAAAACACTACACATGACATGTTTCGAAGTACAACTTCTTTTTCAAATGTGACTAATTAACAATTCGGTGTCCAATATGTATGCCAAGTAATTTAACAAAACAAAGTAATTAAGAAAATACATCAATAACATAACAAAATAAACTGACTATTTAAAGTAAATAAGGGTACTTATGTAATTATGATATCAATCAGATAACAATAAGATAGTAACATTACCGGGATTATCTCACAGAAAACTAGGAAAGAGATTTAATAAGGGTGAGTTATTAATATCTAATTGATTATTTAGTAGGTTATCTGAATTTTTAAATCTATTTATTTCAAGTGTTTCTAAATGGTTTAGTTTAATGCCTTTATTTTCTATTTGTAAAATTTCAAAGTTGTTTGTAAAAGAATGATTTTCAGCTAAAATATGATTTGAGTAAGTAGAATTATTTTTGTTTTTTGTATAGCTATTATAATGTTCGGAATAGCGCTTTTTGAAAGTACGGCCTGTTTGACCAATATACAATTTTGGACAACTACCTCAATTTAATTTATATACCCCCGATTTATTATTAGGATTAATTTTACCCTTATTGTTTTTAATATACTTCCCAAGCGTATTATTGGTTTTAAAAGCTACGTTAATATTTTGGTTTTTTAAATATGATGATACCTTTTCACTAGGAGCTCCTATATATGTAGGAGTCTTATATCTGCAATTTTGATCTTTAATTATGGGATAAATTTGTTGAATAGCATGTTTAAAAAGTTTTTTCTCTAAAATGTTGTCTACTAACTTTGAATTAAAATTATTGTTTACTGCGCTTTGTTTAATGATATTTAATTCTTTTGTTAAGTTCTCTTTGGTAAGGGGGATATTAACTAGTCTATGGATCATACTGTTGTATGATGCCAGCTTTTGTTTGTATGGATGAGATGAACGATTATTTATTGTAATGTCAGTATGTGATGGCTTATGAAATATCCCAAAACTATGACCTTTATTAATTTTAATAATATTTAAGTCTAAAAAATTAATTGAATTATCCTTCTCTGTTTCCATAGTAAATTTAATATTAGGGTGTATAGTATTGATAAAAACTATTAAAAAATGTGACATGCCACATTTATCCACATGTGTCTTCAATTGTAAAATATGTTTATTTATAAATTTGACAAATTTTTGTTTCCTAATGTTGAAAAATGTGGATGTAGTATCGCAGCCGCTGAACGTATGTATAAATCCAAGATATTAACGTTGTTCCGGAAAATTAAAATGTTCCTATCATACAATTTTGATGCTCTTTGGCTTATAATTGGTTTCAAGAAATATATATTTTGATGTTGATCTGATAAAAGTGACAAATCAGTATCATATAGATCGAATAGAAGCAATTCAAAGACGATTTTTAAAACTGCTAAGCCTAAAAACTGATGGCATTTATCCTCTAATAGGTACACCTCACTCTGAATTACTACAAAAGCATAACTTTTTTAGTCTCGAAAGAAGGCATGATTATTATAGTGTAGTAGTAACTTATAAAATTATTAAAAGTATTATTGACTGCCCAACCTTATTAGAAAAGTTTAATATTTGCATTCCCAGAATTTCTCCAGACACCCGAATACTTTTTATATAAATACATCTCACACAAATGTTCTGGAAAATTCTCCGCTCGATACCATGTGTACAGTAACAAATTCTATTGTCAATGAACTTGATATATTTAGTTGCAATTTGTCAGATATAAAATCTCACTTTTTATCTTAGTTAATTTGTTACCTATTACGAAATACAAGTTCTTTTTATGTGCTTAACATTCATATAAAAAATGTGATTTATTAATAATTATATTCTGTCAATTCCTGCTCTGTAATTGGGTTTATGACCTGTAGAGTATTTTATTATAAATAAATAAATAAAATTATAAAAAGTGGTAGAACATGCTTTGTAAATGATCAAACATTTACAAAGGATGAACTTCGCCCATTATTTCTATATTTTGTTTTATTATAAAATATTTATATTTTATTTTGTGTTTTTATAGAAATAATAGACATTATTATTATTATCTACATCTTGGCCAACTATAACTACATTGTTTGATTGGGATGTATTTTCTCTTGCACATTGTATAATTAGAATATACGCTTGTAACGGTTTTATATCAACTTCAGTGAATTTTTGAATCAAATATGATGTAATAAAGTTTTTCTTATTACTCTCATTTGATAAAAAATTGTTGGGTTTTGAGAGAAATTTCAAATCATATTTAATTTGAAAAACTGGGCCAATTTTTTTGATACGGCGCAGTCTTGCTGCACTTTTCGTATCAATATATAAACCACTGGGATAACTATGAAAAACTATAGTGCTATTGACGTAAAAAGTGTGCAACTGATTTATAAATTTTAAATCAAATTAATTTCAAATGTATTTTTCAAACATCCATGTCAAATAAATATAACTTCAATATTTAAGTTTAATTAATTAATTAATAGATTTTTAATTAATTAAATTTCCAATATGATCATACAAATATTTAATTGGTTTAAAATTCTATCATATTTTTATACTTTCGTAAAAATATTGAATATTTATTTACATATTAACTTAAAATACTTTTTTTAATGGATAAACATCAATTTTGTTGTAAAAAAAAAATAAGAACGAAAAAGTGGCAAAGTTCAAGCGGTTATATCTCAATCCAAAAAAACTTTTTTAACCTATTTTGAAAGAATTTTTAATCTACTTGTTTTTATATAAAGCATTGTCTATACCTATCATTGTTCAGAAAACGCAAAATAGTAAAAAAGAAAAACAGATTTTTGCCTTATTGTTAAAAATATATTTTTTAATATTTTTATATAAAAAAAAAATATTTTTTTTAAATAATCTATTTCGATGGGAAATTGCATTCTGTACAACAAAAATCTTGTTAACTATACCGTAAAGTCGTGTGACTTTGACCCGCAAGGGTGACTTTAGCTCAAATCAGTAAATATGTAGTTATTTTTGTTCACAAAAAATTGAACGTCCTATTTTTAAAATAAAACTCGCGCTGGTTGAACTGTAAGGTATTAAAACTACCCAAAACACTTTATTTAAAGACAATTGGACGCTTACGCTTTTTGTAGTATAAACAATTTAACTCATTGCAAAATAATCGAAATTGAAAGGTGATAACATTTGAATGCAACCAACAATACTGTTGTTTGTAATATTTTTTGTTATTAATTTTACCGTAAGCAATAAAAAATATTTTTTTAATGATAAAATGTGTTTTACTATCAACTGTGATGGGTGGCTTTAAACTAGCAAGTAATATACAGAAAACAATGTAAAATGATGGGTGAGTTAAAATCACCCTCTACCTGCGGGTTGCTTTGCACGCCCCTTTTTTATTTTTTATTTGAAACAGACCATTTACGATATTTTTGCTTAATAATTTTTAAAATATAACGGAAGACTAAATTATGGCGAATTTGGATTTGCATTTATTTTACAATTGAAACTAGGTTTAAATTTTGACAGTGAGTCAAAGTCATCTGACTTTATGGTACCTGAGTTTTGCTTAGCTTTCAAGATATAACTAAAAAACTATTCGGGTTGTATTTTCACCCCTATCTCCATTTTTCACCCTCTAATAGCACTGCGATTTTTTCATCTTTAATGACCATTTGAACGATTCATGTGATAAAAACCTGTTATGGTAATACTTCCTTATTGTCCTCTTTTTTTTTTAAACATAATGCACTAGTTCAGTGTGATGTCATTTTGGTTCCACTGACATTTAATTCTAACCAAACTTTTAACAAAAACATTAATAAATTTGACATATACGTTTTTACTGTTTTAAGTTTATTTCTAAATATTGTTTACAGGTCATAAAAAATAGTTGAAAGGTACGTAATTGGTAACTAAACGATTGTATATTTGATGCATGTTATCTACTTACTTTAGAAATATATCTATAAAAGTGAAAAAACGATATAATTTAGGTAAACAAAACAAACAAAACGCACTCAAAAATCTACTGTCACTTTAATTGTCAATGGAACCATAATTACATCATCACTGAACTAGCGCATAGCCTATACTATTAACAACAGTATTATTTTTATAATTTTGCCCATCAACGTCATTGGAATTATTTTTAAATAACTTGTATGCAGAATCTCTCTTTAGTTAGTTGTCTAATTTAATCATCATACCAGGGCAGATCCTTTTCATAAAAAGTTACTGTTTTTAAAGGTGCAATATCATTTAAAATGTTTTTATAATTCTGTTTATTATTATAAATTCTATATCATTGTACACATTTAGCTGTAGGTAATATAGTATTTGGGTCCCGTATTGAGTGTGAGTGGGTATGACACAAAAGTAGTTAATACCGAAAAAATAAATAATGTCATTTTCCGTAGGTCAGCACCAGCAGACCACGGGAAACATGACTGAAGCCGTCGACAAGCACGCCGACTCCGCTGTGATCTTAGAACCGAACCTTCAAGTACCCCCAGCCCTTGAAGACGTTCAACAATTGGCCGGCGATGCCGCTCCCGCTCCCAACACTACAAACGTGATACCCACGAGCGCTCAGTACGGCGTGGCCATAATCCCCAACGAACTGTCCTCGGATACCGTCACTCCGCACACCGAAACCGTCACCGACACCACGGCCAAGGTCGACGAAAAAGAACTGCATTCGACTCCGAGCAGAAACGATCGATTCAAAGTGGTGAAGATCGCTAGTTTGGAGCCGTTCAAAAGGGGCCGATGGAAATGCATGGATTACGTGGACGAAGCGCCTCCAGTCGGCGCCGCCAGAGTACCTCTATCCTCCGGAAGCATACAAGTAACGGGCGGGGCTTATATGCAGACGCAAAGCCTTCCGCAACAACAGATACAGCAGATGTTGCTGCAGAGCGGCTTCACCAACGGCACACAATTCTTTACTAACGTCCAGCCGCAAATGATACCGCAAGGCCAGTATTTCTACCCGCAAATGGCGAATCTACAAAACCAAACGATGCAACCAGTGCCAAACAACATACAGGCTCAATTTATCGGAAACCAACCCTATTTTTCGACCAACGTCGTTCAGAACAATCCCAGTTTCACTATCCCGCAAAATTACGCCAACGTCCAATACGTCCCGGCTAATTTAATCCAAAACCAAACCAGTGCTTTCGTCCCCACATCACAACCTGTCCAATTGCCTCCCAGTTTCCAACAAAGCCAATCGTACGCCGGTCAACCGAACGTGTCTCAAACGAACGTCCAACCGGTGATCAACGGTCACACTTTCACGCCCCAAAACGAACAAGTCACCGGCAGTTTACCCACCCAAACCGTAAAGAACGTTATATTAAATTCCAACCAACCGGTGTCCAGCCAAACGCAAGTCTTGCAACAAAACGTGCAGCTGCAAAACAATCAGAACAATGTGATGATGCAACAGCAGTACCAGCAACAATACCAGCAAGCGCAACAACAACAACAACAGCAGCAACAACAACAACAGCAGCAGCAACAGGCGCAATCGCAACCGGTGCAGGTGCAACCGGTTGTGTCCAGTACGCAGGTGGCGCCTGCGCAATCGCAGACTTTCGATCAGAATCTCGCCAATAACGTCTATACGAATCCGCAATTCGCGATGAGCGTTAACAGTCTAACGGTGCTGGATAACAGCGAGAACATGGCCGATTTGACGGACACCAATAGCGGGAATCCCCCTAGCGAGAACGTCGACGATCCCTCCAAGACGAATCCGGTGGTGAACGCGATCGACAACAAAATCGAACAAGCCATGGATCTGGTTAAGAGCCATCTGATGTACACGGTGCGCGAGGAAGTCGAAGTGCTCAAAGAGAAAATAGCCGAATTGATGGAGAGGATACAGCAATTGGAGACTGAAAACAATTTTCTGCGCTCGCAGATACCTAAAAACAATCAGAACATGCCGGCGAATAACAATAATAATAGTAATAACGCGACCGCGTCCCAATTGCCGAACGCTAGTCCTAATAATTTTATTCCTAATGCGGCGAATGCGAACGCTCCCACGCAAGCGCCGGTCGTCCCGCAAGCACAAGCGCCGCAGGCGGCGCTAACGACGACGACGGCGCAAGGCGAGACCGCCGGCTCGCAGCAGTAGTCGTAGTTAAAGTATGTGTGTGCGTGTGTGAAACGAATCATCGATCGTCTCGCGATATTATTATCATTATTATTATTGGTCATATCATTTTTCCTAATGATCCGATATTGTTTGTTTAATTAAATGATTCTCTCGCGGTAAGTTATATATAATAATATATATGTACGTTTGTGTAGGGATGTGTATAATTGAAAGAAATATGTCGACTAACTAAAAGAATTAATAAAAAAAATTATAAATAAAAAGTCTGAGGTAAGTTGCTACAGTTTGTGATTATGGTGGATGCCTGAAAAGCGCCAGCTAGTTTTTTTCGTCCATCAGATTAAGAAAAAATCAGTTCTTGTGGTGCAATAAAAGACATGAAAATGACATAATCATTTTTTAACATTAATCAAAGGAAAATGGTTGTAAAAAATGGGAAATATGGCTGCTAATCACTCAATAGATTGTTCAATGAACAAGTTCGAACATTTAAACTATCAGGAGCCCAATTCTTGAAATTATAAGAATTATTTTTTCAGACAATTTATTCTCAAAAAAAAGTGTATTTTGAGAACCATCAGTTCGATTCTTCAATAAGTAAGAATTGCAAAAAGTTACGTTTGTCACAGCTAAATTGACGATAATTTTCAATTTCCTCTACCAAATGATATTAGGAAATAATTTTGAAAGAATATTTTCATATGAAATGTTTCAAGAATACTCATGCTACAAAATCAAGAGAAAATGATGACGTAAGTTTTTTCTGAGAATCGAATCGTATAATTTCAAAAATTGAGTCCCAGCAGGATCCATTTTCTACATTCATTTTCCATCTACTAGCGAATCTTTGAGTGAAAAAAAAACTTGCAAAATTATTATTAATTTAATCAGATAAATTAAACACATTACAGGTTGGCATCTTCATGCAATAAACAACATAAACTGTCACTGTGTACTAAATATCACTGATATCTCTTGAGCAGTTTCAAAAAAATTTATATTTTGGATACCTTCTCCATAGGTTTTTTGTATTAAAAGAGCTCTAGGTGGGCAAAATGCTAAAAACTCACTTATAACATTAAATTTAATGAAATCTTGGACCCTAACTTCATAGGTTGAATTAAACGCCTAAATATATTAATTTTGGATACCATCTTCATAGGTTTTTTATTTTTTAATGGTATGAAACGAGCTCTAGGTGAAGTAAATGCCTATAAATAATGAAATATACTAATTTTGGACACCATCTTTATAGGTTTTTATTTTTTAATGATATGAAACGGGCTCTAGGTGAAATAAATGCCTATAAATAATAAAATATACTAATTTTGGACACCATCTTCATAGGTCCACGATTTTTGGGTATTGAAATGAACTCTAAATAAAAGAAATGCTAAAAAATCCCTTAATACATTAAATTTCATGAAAATATTGGTCACTATCTTCATAGGTTCATATTTTTAATGGTATAAAATGAGCTCTAGGTAAACTAAATGCCTAAAAATAAATAAATATACTAATTTTAATAAAAATCGTGGACATCATCTTCATAGGTTCATATTTTTTAATGGTATTAAATGAGCTCTAGGTAAATTAAATGCTTGAAAATAACTAAATGCAAGAATTTTAATAAAAACTTTGGACACCATCTTCATAGGTCTACGGTTTTTGAGTATTGAATCGAGCTACAGATAGAAGAAGTGCTAAAAAAATCACTTAATAAATTAAATTTAATGAAAATATTGGACACCATCTTCATAGGTTTTTATTTTGTAATGCTATGAACGAAATGCTTAAAAATAACTATAATAATTTTGCTAAAAACTTTGGACACCATCTTCATAGGTCCACGGTTTTTTTGTATATTGCAATGAGCTCTATATAGAAGAAGTGCTTTTAAAAAAATCACTTAATACATTAAATTTAATGAAAATATTTTTCACCATTTTCATAGATTCATATTTTTAATGGTATAAAACGAGCTCTAGGTGAATGAAATGCTTAAAAATAACTAAATATAATAATTTTAATAAAAACTTTGGACACCATCTTCATAGCACCATGGTTTCTTGGTATTGAAACGAGCTCTAGATAGAAGAAATGCTAAAAAAATTAGGTTATTTTTTAATGGTATGAAATGAGCTCTAGGTGAATGAAATGCTTAAAAATAACTACCTATAATAATTTTAATAAAAACTTTGGACACCATCTTCATAGGTCTACATTTTTGGGATATAGATATTTTATATTTTTAATATTATAAAATGAGCTCTAGGTGAACAAAATGCTTAAAAATAACTAAATACACGTACACAAATTTTAATAAAAATCTTCATAGGTTAATTTTTTAGTAGTATAAAACGAGCTCTAGTTGGGCAAAATGCTTAAAAATAACTATAATTTAAAAAAAAATCTTGAATACCATCTTTATAGGTTCATGGTTTTTGAGTATTAAAGGAGCTTTAGCTGGATGAAACGTCAAAAAATCACTTGATATATTAATTTTCATGAAAATGTGGACACCATCTTCATAGGTTCATAATTTTAATGGTATAAAACGAGCTCTAGGTGGATGAAACGTCAAAAAAATCAATTAATACATTAAATTTCATGAAAATCTTGGACACCATCTTAATAGGTTAATATTTTTTGGGCATTTAATGAGCTCAAGGTGGACGAAATGCTAAAAAATCACTTAATACATTACATTTAATGAAAATCTTGGACACCATCCTCATAGGTTTATATTTTTAGCTTTAACAATGGCGTACGTACAGGCACTAACTTCGATATTTTTGAAGAAAAAATAGTACGCCAATGGTTTTTTTTTTTTATAAAAAATAATCTGGCATTTTTATTTCTAGATTCTGTAAAGGCTTAAAAAAAATCCAAGTTGTATAAAACATATTTTATTGTCCAAAGTCTCATTTCTTTATTCACTAATATAGATACTTTTTTTATAATTTTAAATTGCCTAAAGTACCTTCTCCAAATTCGCCATCAGCTCTCCGACTATAATTAAAAATATAAGAGCATTCAGGGTGTTGACACAGTTAATGAGATATTTTAAAAAATTATATAAATGGTGCTAGTATTTATTGGGGAAAGGAAATATTCGTAAAAAAATATTGTTTTCTTCATGTTTTATCCATATTTGATTAACAAGAATTTTAGTTTGTTCGCCCTTCAAAAAAAGTTATGACCAAATTAAAAATTCGTGTCAAATTTGACATTAACATTTGATTGCCCATGGTTTGTCCAACCAAAAATTTCATTTGTCTACCTCCAAAAAGGACAATCCTAATTTCATTCCTTTCAAATTAAATACAACAATCGTTCTACATTCATTATTTTTGTTTGTCCTTCCAAAAGAAATGAAGGGTGGACAAATGAATGCTATCTATTTTTTTATATATATAAAAAGTAACTTCACGGACAAAAAAAACTTAAATACGACGCTTTTCAGGCAACTTCCCTCTACGGTAAAATAAGGATGTTAAAAATGATTAATGGTATGGACATATCGAAAAAGCTACTGGACGAAATTTTCATTAGTATTCATGTAGTACTTCCACAATAATAATTAATTTAATAGAAATAAACTATTAGATAAATACAGTTTTATCACCATTTACACACGCCTTTCGCTAACTATGCTGGCATCTTCACTATGAAAACTTCGATCAATATGCATTGCAACTTCGAATTTTCCATACCCTTAAGACAAGTACTGATATATAACAAAAATATATAAATAAAACAGTAAAATTTGTTAACGTTTTTATTTAAAATATTGTGCGATGCAAAAGTATGGTATACGTCTATTTTTGAAAAATATTTATTGTAAAAAAAAAAAACAACAATTCATCATGACGATCTACCGTAAATATGGCGTTCTCAATAGGGTTACCATGTTCAAAAATACAATTTCTTGGCATACCTAGTAAAAATTTCGGATATTTCTTTAAACATCCGGACATTTCTTTAAAAGTCCGAATATTTTTTAAATAATCCGGACAAGATAATAAAATCCAACCAATAATTGCTAAGTTTTATTAAAAAAAGTAACCCATCAAAAATTGGTAAAGGTCAAAAGAACTGTTTATACAAGATTTTAACAATTATAATTCCCGGTGAATTCCGGACACGTCCGGACTCTTCCTGACATCTGGTAACCCTAGTTGTCGACAGCGTTGATGAGAGATGTCTCATTTTTATTTTGTTTTTTTTTTTTTTAATTAAACTAAAGTTAGAGCATATTTTTGAATTCTTGACAAAAATCCAATTCTAATCTAAACTTTATCAAGATTCACTTAATTAAATTTCTATTTACACATGGTCTTGATAAGAGGCAAATTTACGTAACATCTCGGCTAACGTTGCGTTAAACTTAGAATGTGACATTCAAAAGGGTAGATCACAGTATATCGCTAAAATTATTGTATTCTATACTTTTGTATCGCTGTAAAAATTAATGACGTTTTAATTTGCTATACTAATAGCAACACACACTACGTCATCTTCACTGCCATTGCTAAACTTTGATTGGAGCTTTCGACATTATGACTTTACTATTGTTGGTGCTGACCAATTTTTGGAACTGAATCAAATCAATGTCGTCTTTCAGTATTTACAGAATGTATGGTCTTTGTTTTTTTTTTTTTTTTCTAGTTTAGATAATAATGTAATGAATTTATTATTTAAGACACATCAATGCCTTGGTATATTTTTCTGCCGAACTGAGAAAATTTACTGGAATCTCTGCGGCTTTTTTTTTTTTTGAATGTTTTTCTCGTTTCTTGAGTTATATTAACGATTTCGTATTTTGGTGGATACTTCTGATTTAAAGCGCATCAACTTTACGCAAATCGTTACCGACGTGACTAATTTCACGTTACATTTGAGTTGATGAAGTACTGTATCCATTATTTAAACAATAATCTTTATAATTATTGACAAACATATTTGATACTATAAGGTGATACATTAGTGTAAAAAATGTCAATATCTCCGGAACTATTATTAGATATTTTACATAACACATATTGCCAGTAGTAACTGGCTTTCCCATTTTTAATTTTGGTCCATCAAGGAATCGGGAGGTGTTACTAGTTTTTATAGTAAATTTTCAACATAAAAACTAGCATTTATCGAAAACAATCCAATCAAAAACTCAATTTTATAGGTTAAATGCACAAAAACAACGAATTGTCTTGAAAATATTAACGTTGCCACGTTGTTAATTAAATTACAAGTTTCATGATTATTTTTATTTGATTATTATATTTTTTTGTTAATTTTAAAAAGTTTAATTTACTTAATGGACACCATCCTCATAATTTGATTTTTAGTGGCATAAAATAGGCTTTAGGTGGAGGAAATGATTAAAAATACTTAATATACTAAATTTAATGAAAATCTTTGACACCATCTCCATAGGTTATTGTTTTTAGTGTTATAAAACGAGCTCTACGTGGATAAAATACTTAAAAATTACTTTATATTTAATGAAAATCTTGGACACCATCTTCATAGTTTCATTTTTAATGGCATAAAACGAGCTCTAGGTGAACGAAATGCCACCATATATAGTCTTAAGTTTTTTCGGGAATTAAAGGAGCTTTAAGAGAACAAAATGCTAAAAAATCACTTAATACATTAAATTTAATAAAAATCACCTTCTTCATAGTTTTATAATTTTAACACTATAAAACGGCTCTAGGTAAACGAAATACTTAAAAATAACAAAGTACAAAAATTTTA